AGGTCCAAGGGGTCCTGCTGAATGGGCGTCCGGAAGATCGTCTGGGACAGGCAGCGCGCTGTCGACCAGCGCCCGATGTAGCAATGAGAGAGAGTGTCAGCAGCGGCGTCGGCGCGGCGGCGATCTGCGCCTCCGCGGCGGCGACGCTGCTGGCTGCGGCTCGTACTGCGGTCCTCGTCACTTGAGCTGGGCATGGTGCGCGTCTCGCGGAGCCAGTCACCTGCAGCGGAGCGGAACCAGCGCGTCACGGCAGAATGCGGAAGATATGAAGGGGGCCCTGCAAGGAGAGAGCGAGAAGCAGGAAAACACGCGGGCCGCTGCAAGCCCCTTGGTGTGGCAGCTCGGGAAGACGAGTTCCTGGTGGGAGCCTACCCCGCGAAGGCAGTGGAATGGAAACCATTTTGGCCTTGAGCCAAAATGGCTACGGAATGAGACGAGGAGAGGGAGGAGGAGCAGGAGGAGGAGGAGGAGGAGAGCGGGGAGCCCCCAAGGGGCCGTCGCCCCACCTCCCTCGCACCTGTCATTGCTATCATCCACACTGCTCCTTCTCTCTCTCTCTCTCTCTCTCGCTTTACCTCTCTCTCTCTTTCTCTCGCTCTCTCTCATTATCTTTGTCTCTCTCACTCTCTCTCTCTCTTTCTCTCTCTCTCTCTCTCTCTCTCTCTCTCTCTCTCTCTCTGTCGTTGTCTTTATCTCTCTCTCTCTTTCTTTATTTTCTCTTTCTCTCTCCTTGTATAGATGCCTCTCTCTCTCTCTCACTCTCTATCTCTCTCTATGTGTGTATGTTTCTCTATTTCTCTCTCCATACCTATATCATTCTCTCTAAACTGTAGAAGTGTCGATCAACATGTATTGATTGATATATGATGTGTATGTGCACATGTGTAAGCACATGGCGTGTCCCTCTGTCTGTCTCTCTGTCTCTCCCGAGCCCCGCTTTTTCATCCATCCTCCACCTACTGAGACCTGAAGCAGGTGGCAGTCTTGGTCGATCCCACCGTCCCGCATCATTCCTCTCGCCATCTCTCGTCGCTCTCCCACATCCCTCTCGCCCTCTCTCGTCCCTCCCCCCCGCTGGGTCAGGTGACCGCGGCCCAGGGTGGGAGGGAGGACCTCGGAGGGGCCAGGGGCCCAGGGCGCCAAGCTCAGGGCAAGACCGCCGAGCAGGCCAGCATGGCGTGGCGCGCGGTCCGCCCAGAGGCTGCAGGCACGTGGAGCGGGAGCCGGGAGCCGCGGCGCGACGCGAGCCGCAAAGAGGAGGGGCGGCACGGAGGGCAAACCGCCAGGTGCAGCCGGCCGTCTGGAAGGGCTTTGTTTTTTCTGTTGTCTTGATTGTGTTGTTCTTACGTGTGTTCTTTGTTCTTCTTTTCCATGTATGTGTTCTTCTATGTTGTTGTTTCTCTCTCTATATATATATATATATATATATATATATATATATATATTTGTGCCTGCCGTCCGGGAGGGGGGTCCTGGGCGCCAAGCTCAGGGCAAGACCGCCGAGCGAGGCCGCAAGAGAGGAGCGCGGGATCGACCCGGAGGGTCGCTCTGGGGATCCCGCGCGGCGGCTTCTGGAGCCGGGGAGCGGCAGCGGCAGAACGGCAGGGGGGAGCGAGCAGAGCTCGCCGCGCGCGCGGCGGCCATCCGTGGAAGCCGGCGGCTGCCGGGGAGGCACCGGGGCCCGGGCGAGGCGGCAGCGCGCAGAGGGGAGCCCTGGGCGCCAAGGTCAAGGCAGAGTCGCCGCTCGAGGCAGCAAGAGTCGGGGATGGACAGACCTCCCTTTAGTAAAACGTGGCTTAGTGAAAACGACCTCGGGCCCAAACCTGGCGGGCGCAAGCCTGGAAAATAACGGCCACGGCGCCCTCTCGAGAACCGAAAACGGACAATTCACTAATCGACGTGTCACTGTTGGGGGTTCTGTCCACCCCCGAAAGGGGAGGGCGCGTGATCTCAACGAGGGCCACTCCAGGGAGCCACCGCGGCGGCCACTGGCCAGCAGCGAGTGGGCAGATCGGGGGGAGGTGCTGGCGCCAGGGGCGGGCAGCTCCGCTCCCGAGGCAGCCTGGCGGCGGTGAGGGGAAGAGCCAAAGTTAGGTCGGGCCTGTCCCCCCACAGGCCGATCTTGGACGAAAAATGAAAAATACGCATAAAATACCCAAAAATAGCCAAACGTGCCCCAAAAATATGCCCCCCAGACTATTTTTTGACTACTTTGGAATATTCCTCCCGTAGAGGGACAAGCCCGGCTCGAAGCCAAAGACCACTCCCGGCGCGGCGTGGCGGCGCCACGCTGCAGGCGCCCCGTTGCAGGCGCCCTCGGCCTGGAAGACCGCGGGGCCTCCACGCGGGGGCCCTCGGCGTGCGGGCCGAGCGGAGCGGGAGGACGGCAGGCGGGCGGTCTGCGTCGCAGTCGCTGCACGCGCCGTCGGGTCCGAAGCCGTGGTCGTCGGTGTGGAACAAACTTGACATTTTTCCTCCTTCAGGTCCTCCTCCTCCTCTCCTCCTCCTCCTCCTCCTCCTCCTCCTCCTCCTCCTCCTCCTCCTCCTCCTCCTCCTCCTCCTCCTCCTCCTCCTCCTCCTCCTCCTCCCCTCCTCCTCCTCCTCCTCCTCCTCTCATCCTCCTCCTCCTCCTCTCCTCCTCCTCCTCTCCTCCTCCTCCTCCTCCTCCTCCTCCTCCTCCTCCTCCTCCTCCTCCTCCTCCTCCTTCTCCTCGTTCACCCGTCGACCGTGTATACAGTGGGACTTGCTTGCAGAGGACACAAGACCCTTCCGAGGGCCACGCTGCCACAGAAGTGCAGGAGGCACGGGTCGCAGGACACAGGACACGAGGGTGCCCTGGATCAGGCAGGGTCGCCCTACTGCTCCGGGCCGCGTGCAGTCCGCCAAGGGCGCCGCTGGCATGGCCACGGAACCTTCCCGCCGGTGCCCGGGTGCAGCGACCGGGTCCAGGAGGGTGTTCCCGCTGTCGGCGGAGCCCCCGCGCTCGGGCTGCTCGGCGGCGGCCGGGACAGGGGGGGGCGCCGGAGCCGCGCACGTCCGACGGCGGCCGGCCGCGCGGGGGAGCTTTGGGCCCAAAGGGCGGGGTGGCTGCGGAAGGCTGGCGGGGTTGCCCAGGCTGCCGCCCCGATGCGCTCGGCGCAGGAGGCGGGCAGGCCTGCAGCTGCAGCAGCGTCCCATAGGCAAGACAGCGGATCGCAGGACGTGAGAGGTGGCCACACGATTTGCCCAGCGCGAAGACGCACCCCGTCGCAGAGGGCCAGGTCCACCTCAAGTACGCAGCTGGGCAAGGTCTGTAACGAGGATCTCCGTCCCGCAAGGGCAAAAGAGGCGGGCGTGCGGCCAGAGCGCGGGTGGTGTGGGCTGCCTGTCGTCTGTCTGAGCCGGCGGCGGCGCGCATGGCCCTCCTGGGAGAGGAAAGATGCACCCTTGGATGGAGGGCCGTTGGTGGTCGCAGTTCGGGCAGACGCCGAGATTGTGCGGCAGCTCTAGTGGCCAAGCATGGACCATTGGCTGAGAGAATCGGGACACTTGCTAATGATCCTGAATCTCTCGGCCCCAGGAATGTAGAAAGCCAGAAGCGGAGTAGTAGGCGACGGACAGGGTGCAAACCCAGACCTGGACAGGACGGTGACCGCAGAAAGGAGTGTGGGGAGCAGTGCTGGAAGTGATGTAGTGGCCGCCGCTGCGCTGAGGAGAAACTCGTCGGCGGTCCAGTGGTGCTCGTAGACAGCCTGCACTGCGCGCTCATATTCGGTTAGAGGGGCAGCGCCGAGGTCGCCACCCGCGCGAAGGTAGCAGAGGAAATCCAGGGAGCCTGCGAACGGGCGACGGGTGCCGCGGCTGGGCGGCGCCACCCACGGCCAACGGCAGCATGTATGGCACAGAAAGCCCCAGTGGATACAGTATCCGCACACAAGGCTGGGCCAGCTCGCACGAGGGAAACGTGAGAGGTGCAGAAGCCGGGGCAGGCCAGCAAGGTAAAGACGCCACAATCGACACAGATGCGCCAAGCAGCGGTGTGGTGGGGGCTGAGCTGCGTGCCTGCGGGAAGGACAGTCCAAGGGAAGGGCGGGCAACCCACTTCAGCCGCCACATGCGTGCCACCCACACACACACACACACCAAACTTCTCCTTTTCCTTCTCCTCCTCCTCCTTCTCCTCCTCCTCCTCCTCCTCCTCCTCCTCCTCCTCCCCCTCCTGCTCCTCACCCCTCCTCCTCCCTCACCCACCCTCTCATCCATCTTCCTCCTCCTCATCCTCATCCACCTCCTCTTCCACCACCTCCTCCTCCTCCACCTCCACCTCAACCTCCTCCTCCTGCTCCTCCTCCTCCTCCTCCACCTCCTCCTCCTCATGCTCCTCATCCCCGTCCTCCTCCCTCATCCACCTTCTCATCCAGCTTCCTCATCTTCCTCCTCCTCTTCCTCCTCCTCCTCCTCCACCTTCACCTCTAACTCCACATCCTCCTCCTCCTGCTCCTGCTCTTCCTCCTCCTCCTCCTCCTCCTCCTCCTCCTCCTCACTCCTCGTTCTTCTCGTCTCCTCCTGCTCCTTCTCCGAATTCTCCATCGTACCTCCACTCGTCATCCTCCTTCCTCTTCGACAAGGTTGCTGCTCTTCCTCATCCATATCGTCCTCCTCCTCCTTCTCCTTCTCCTCCTCCTCTTCCTCCTCCTCGCCTCCTCCTCCTCCTCCTCCTCCTCCTCCTCATCCTCATCCTCCTCCTCATCCTCCCTCCTATTCCTCCTCGCCCCCCTCTCCATCCCAACCCACCTTCCCCTCCCTCCTCCTCCTCCTCCTCCTCCTCCTCCATCCATCCTCCTTTCTCCCTTCACCATCCATCCATCCAAAGCGCGGTATCGGATGAACGCTTAAAGGCAAACGAACGTATGTGATGGGAGAGCTTTCCTACATGTTACTCCGGAAGCGCTCGGCCCAAAAAATACAAGATACGTGTCCGAACTGACCGTGCGTCAGACAGTCAGAGGAACAGCAGAAACGGTCCTGTGACATGGAATACTTCTCCTTGAGCACATCGATCAGTGCCCAATACTTCAGGCTCTTGATGTGTTTCAGCTTCCCTGAGTTGTTAAAGAATTCCTTTGAGTACTTCCCCGAGAGCGCCCATTCCCGAGGAGGCAGGTCTCCCAACAGCTCCGTCATCAGCGCAAGATGGTCCTCGTCACGGGACCACCCGTCATCCGCGTGCGGGTCGAAGAGGAAGTCCCCCGTGGCCAGCTCAAATATCATGCAGGCGGCGCTCCAGACGTCGGCAGTCTCATCCCACGCGGTCCCTATGATAACCTCTGGGGAGCGATACTGCCGCCTCGGCGAAACAACGGGCACTGGGGAAGAAGCAGGAGCGAGGAATGGTCATACTTCTCCGCCACCTCCTTCTCAACCCTTCCTGATGTTCGTCTTCCCTTCCTCCTCCTCCTTCTGCTCCCCCTGGTCATCATCATCGTCATCAGCATCATCAGCATCATCAGAATCATGAGCATCATCAGCATCATCAGCATCATCATCACCAGTATCATATTCACCAAAAATCATCATCATCACCATCATCAGCATCATAATCATCAGCAGCCAGCATAATCATCAGCATCATCATCACCATCGTCGTTATCGTCTTCATCGTCATCATCAGCATCAGCATCAGCATCATCATCGTCATCATCCTAATCCTGATCCTCATCCGGATCCCCATCCTCACGTTCATTGCCATTATCATCAGCAGCATCAGCAGCATCATCATCATCATCATCATCATCATCATCATCATCATCAGAATCATCATCACCATCACCATCATGAGCACCATCATCATCATTAGTATTATCATCGCCATCATCATCATCGTCGTCGTCACCACCATCACCCTCACCCTCATCATCATCATCATCATCATCATCATCATCATCATCATAGACAAAAAACAATGCAAATACCTGAAGGAGCACTTGAATTGAAAAACACCAGGTGCACCGGAGGGGGGATACTCTACTGTTACTCATGGTAAATAAAACCCAACAACAACGACAACAACAACAACTCGAACAGTCAAAATAACAATCAAAACAACTACAAACATATAAACCAGCAAACAAACAAACAAACAAACATACAAACAAACGAGCAAACAAACACACAAACAAATAAACAACAACATCATGATCGTGATCGTGATCATGATCAGGGTCATGATCATCATGACCATCATAATAAGCGTCATCACCATCACCATCACCACAAACATCATCATCAGCAGCAGAACCATCATCTCATTCTTCTTCACCACCATCACCATCACCATCACCATCACCAGCATCACAACCATCATCATCAGCAGCAGCATCAGCATCGCCATCATTATCATCGTCATCGTCATCAGCATCAGCATCATCAGCAGCAGCAGCATCATCACTATCGGCCTCTTCCTCATCATCATCTGACACCTGAGGAGAAGGAAGAGGGCAAGGAGAAGGGAGAAGGAAGGAGGCAGGAGGCATAAGGGAGCAGGCGGGAGGGAGGAGGGAGGCAGGAGGAGCAAAGGGAAGAGGGGGAGCTAATGGTTGCAGCAGGCAAGATCTTAGGCACATGGCCCCCTACTAAAGAGACTTGGCCAAACATCCAAAAGAAAACACCCGAGCGTGCTCCCCGCCAATGTGTCAGAGCACGAAACAGTGTGGTCAGGATCCTCGTTTCGTTGCAGGTTACGTCTCAAAGTGGTTAGCGTCCGCTCAAGGGCTCCTGCAAGCCAGTGCATGTAAGCTCCGTGAGCTAGCAACATCAGCTCGAGACGTTCGTCACAGCATGCGGTACTGCACCATTGTAGGCAACAAGCTCCCTGTCACACTCTGCTGCTCGTGCGGGGGGATCACCCGCGGTCGGCGTTCCCAGAAGCTCGCCGTACCATACCTGCGCCGGAACTCTTCTGAGCGCCGAAAGCTGCTCAAACGCGAACTCCATGGGTCTGGGAGGATCACGCTCAACCCACCTATCCAGGTCGAGTTCTAGGATCCCTGTGAAAATCGGCATGGCAGGTTTGGCGGGCAGAATTCGTGGTCCGCGGCCCTTGAGAACATTCCTCCCCAGAACATTCCTCCCCTTGAGAACATTCCTCCCCTTGAGAACATTCCTCCCCTGATGAGGAGGAGGAAGAGGAGGAGGAGGAGGAGGAGCGGGAGGGGAAGAATGAAGAGGAGGAGGAGGAGGAGGAGGAGGAGGAGGAGGACGCAACGGTGTACACTGAGTTCAGCCACCACGAAACTACGAGTGCTGCGGTGGGCGTGCTTCAGGGGCGGCCGGTCCCGCTACGGCTGCTGCTTCTGCTTCCGCTGCTCGCCTCCGCGCGGACGTCCCAAGAGCAGAGCCTTCCGCTCGCAGCCGCTCGCCGCCGCCTGCCCCCCGCTGTGTGAGCCTAGGGCCGCCGCGTCTGGATGTCGTCGGTGACCTTCCTGTTCGAAAAGACTCCATTACCGAAGTCCGCAAGCTTGGCGTTCACCTGGCAGAAGTCCAAGGTGTCGAACCTCGGCGGCCGCGCGGGGGGGCCCGCCAGCCCCCCGCGGGGCGCTGCCGCCCTCGGAGCGTCGGGCGTCCTGCAAGCCTGCCAGAAAGAGCCTCCTCCATCTTGTCCTCCTCCTCCTCGTCCTCCTCCTCCTCGTCCTCCTCCTCCTCCTCCTCCTTCTCCCCCCCCCCCCCTCCTCCTCTTCCTCTTCCTCCTCCTCCTCCTCCACCTCCTCCTCCTCCTCCAATCCTCTTTCTGAATAATTTTTCCCTGTCGCACCCCGTAACCAGTTTTTAGGGCGGGCCGGGCATTTCGCCTGAAACGTCCTCACCACTCATGACCCTGAAGCTTAAAAGTTGGCAACACCTTCACAGATGGAGGGCGGGGCGTTTTCATCAGGTGGCTCTCGACGTAGCGCGGCGCACATTCGTTTTCCAAATTCGCAAGCGATTCGCGGATTGAGGGTGGGTGGTGTTCAAATTGTGGCTCTCGCCTTAGTGCGCGCACACTCGCTTGAGACATTGGAAAGAAATTTACGGATTGAGGGCGGATGGCTTCCAGAATGTGGCTCTCGCCTTCGCGCCGCGCACAGTCGTTCACATCAAAGTTGCAAGAGTCTCACAGAGTGAAGGCGAATTGTTATCCAAAGGTGGCTCTCGCCTTAGCGCTGCGCACATTCGCATGTAAATATGTTGAAGCGTCTTACATATTGAAGGCGGGTGGCTTTCAACATGTGGCTCTCGCCGCAGCGCCGCGCACATTCGTTTTAAACATTTACAGGAGCTTCGCGGCTTGAGGGCGGGTGGTTTTCAAAATGTCGTTTCTAAAATGTGCAAGAATTTCACGGAGTCCCATGACCAACGTACCAGAAAGCGTGTTCTGGAAGGACTCTGGATTATGAGGGTGCAACAGTTACGTGGGTTCGCGGCGTTAAAGTCCCAAGGATGGCTTTCTGGCACGTTTCGGGATCGTCAAGACGCAACAGCCAGGTTGATCCGTTGCGTTGAAATCCCGAGAACCAATGTTTTGGCATGCTTCAGTCTTCAAACGTTTGTCTTCCGACGACGCAATTCCCTCAGAGGAATGAACCGTCGTAGGGACCTATGAAAAAGGGAGCTTGGAGGGAGGGCGTATTCCAACATCGTTGGTGACTCTTGGGTTTACACTGGTCCTCCTCCTCCTCCTCTTCCTCCTCCTCCTCCCCCTCCTTCTCCTCCTCCTCCTCCTCCTTCTCCTCCTCCTCCTCCTCCTGCTCCCCCTCGAAATTCCCTATCTCCCTCTCTCCCACCCTCCCTCTGTCGCCCTCCCTCCTACGCCTCGTCCTCATCATCCTCCCTGCTCACATCCGTCCTCCATCCCTTCCCACTCTTCTCGTTCTCCTTTCCTTGCTCATGCTCGCCCACCCGCTCCTCTTCCTTCTCAACCTCCGCCTCCTCCACCTCCGCCTTCTCCTCCTCCTCTTCCTCCTCCTCCTCCGCGCCGTGTCCCTCTTTCCTTTGCCATCCTCCCTTCTCTCTCGGCCCTCCTCCCTGCACCCTTGTGCGTCCTGCCTCCTTCCCCGTCCCTCGTCCCTCCTCCGGCCTCCTTCCTTTCTGCAGGTGCGCAATGCGGTACGCACAGACGCTGGCTTCACTCTGTACGTCATCTTCCCACAGCCCCTCTATTCAGTGCGCACACGTGCACCCCATTAAACACGAATGCTTCAGCCATAAGCGCAGAAGGTAAAACTCCAAACAGCTTCCCCCCTCGATATACTACCGCCCGTGTACCGTCACAATACCACGCCAACGTTGCCACAACAGCGGCAGGGTCTCCACTGCCACGCCAGGCGTCGTCGACGCGGACTCTGAAACTGGCGCCCTCTGTTTTGGCACAGGCAAAGTTTCCGGCATCGGTGGTTGAGCACGGCGCCTTCCTATTCAAAGCAACACTAGCATCACGGTCTGCCAATGAATTGTATTCCATGGGGTCCCACATGACAAAGGCGGACTTATGAGTAATCTGCGCCTTACCCCTTTCCGCCAGCAAACTCCAGGCGACGACAGATACGAACGCAAAGAAGCCGCCAGAAGATGGGTTTCAGCTGTGACCTCCCACAGTAAAGCTCAGCCATATGTCGACTGTCTGTTTGCACCCAAACGACATGACCGTCACGCCATCCTATGTTTGTTCCACAGAATGGCCAACAAAGCCACATCAACATCTAAACGGATCCATTCGACTCGAGCCCCTATTCTGGGCTCCCCTGCAGACAGCGGCATCGGTATCAAGCTCACTCCCTGCACCAAATGGTAATGAACTCCCTCGCGAACCCCAGCCACTTCGACAGCGCACGACAAGAAGATCGTTTCGTACGCGAGCTGGGCCACGGAGCTTCTACGAAGGGATGCTTCGACGTAGACCGCTGATGGCCGCAATAGCTGCGAACATAGCTCAAATGTCGCCACTCACGCTGTTCAGGCATACCACAAGCGGCCTCTTTGCATTCAGCAGACCGGAGCGACCACATACCGTTCGGAGGAGCAATGGCATGGCCTGAAACACCTTCCGCATCGAACCATATATGCTTGGAACCGATGTTCATAAATCTGGTATGAAAAAACTCGGTGGGAAATTGCCACGTCCATTTTACGATGCGTTCGGCCGAACAGGTGTGATAGTCGAACTGCCCGTCCTCTAGACGCCGTCGTAGCCGCACAAGCTTTCGCCGCACGTGGGGCTCCCACGACTAGATGCCTCGCACGAGTCCTGCCGTCAGCTGCCATCCAGAACAATCGAGCACCGCTGCAAAGCTGAGGCTCGCTTGCACACAGGCGGCGAGCCGCCCCCGCCCAGCTGGCTGGGCGCGTCGATCCCGTCGCTGGCTCAGGCGGTCCGAGCAGCGGAGGCGCACTGGCCACGCCCAGGCATGGGCCCGTCAAGTAGGTGAGGAAGAGGGAGGACGTTTCGCTGAAGACTGCTGACCATGGCGTGGGGACCACGACAGCAGGGGCGAAGTGCCTGGAAGGCGCCGACGGGGCAGGCCACGGCCCCGTCAGCCACTGTGAGAAGGTAGGCGCAGGAGGGCTTGGCCTTGGCCTTGCCACAGCCTCCGCCACCTGCGCCGCCCCCGCCGCTGCCGTCGAAGGCAGGCGGGTGGAGGCGCTGCCGCTCCTCGCGCGCCTTGCGGCGCTCCTTCGCGACGGCCGATCCGGCGGAGAGCTGCTTGGCGATCCATTCGGCGAGAGCGGGGGCGACCATGATCCCACGCGTAGGCTGCCTCCCTGTGAAGAAGAACTGTTTGTCGCCTCCTGACTTGGAGGCGTGGGCGCTGAACAGCCGGTTCTTGTAGCGCTCCTCGCAGAGCCGCGGCTGCCTCGCCGCCAACTCGAGCGCGGCCAAGTTGGAGCCATCGACTTGGTCATACGACGGAGCCACTCGCATAGTCCTGGAGGACCTGAAAAGCACGCCAACGACGGGGTCGTCGACTGGCTCTGCCGCGCCAGGAGCCGCCTTCCAGATAAGGCTGTGCCCGAGCGGCGAGCCTCCGTTCTCGACCTGGTAGGAGGCGACCCAATGGTACGACGTCGCGGGGCCTGGGGCGGGCCAGTCGGGGAGGCTGGTGGGCCGCATGAGCTGCACGCTGTTCGGCGGCGCGCACAAGGGGGTGGAGGGAGGGGGGAGGGCTTCTTAGAAGGAAGCTGCTCCTTAGAAGGCGCCGGCCCCACATCTACAGATCAGGCCCGCACCCTCTGAGAGGCAGGGGTGCTTCTAAGAAGCCCTCCCCCCACCCCCCTCTCTGCGCGTGGCTGAGCTGCCCCGAAACCTGCGGTGGCGCTGGCCCTGGCTGCCGCCAGCGGCCGCGATGGTGCGGAGGTCCACGCCGGCGGCGGCGGCGGCGGCGGCTGCCGGGCCCGCGGCCGCCCCGGCGGGGCCGGCAACGGCGGGCAGGGCGGGCGCCCCGGCCCCCGGCCCGGCCACCAGCGCAGCGAGGGAGGGGGGAGGAGGGAGGAGGAGGGAGGAGGGAGGAGGAGGGGGAGGGAGGAGGAGGGAGGAGGGAGGAGGGAGGAGGGAGGAGGAGGAGGAGGGAGGAGAGGAGGAGGAGGAGGAGGAGGAGGAGGAGGAGGAGGAGGAGGAGGGAGGAGGAGGGGGCGGCCAGGCCACCAGGCTCGGCACCGGCCGCAGGGGCGGCGGCGGGCGCGGCTGCAGGGGCAGCGCCTCCGGCGGTGGCTGCGGCCATCGCGGCCGGCGCGCCGGCAGCGACGCCGCCTCCAAGGGGCCCTGCACCTGGGGCCACGGCGGCGATGGCAGCACCGGGCGCAGCGCTGGGACCAGGACCGCCGCCCGCGCCGTCACCAGGAGGGCCCAGAGCACGATCATGGGCCGCCACCCTGCCCGCAGCGAGTGCGCACGCCTGGGCGACCTGCGAGGTCGTAGCGCTGGACGCCAGCAGGGCAGACGGCGGCCCCGTTCGAGGCTCTGGCAGCCCAGTACCTCCACCAGTTTTTGATATCGTCGTTGCTGGCGTCGCACTCCTCGACGTACGCGTCGAAGTCCGGCGTGGATACGTGCTTGGGGTGGGCGGCGGAGACGCCGACTACGATCCGCTTGTGCGCCAGGCCAGGCGGCGGCGCGTCGTACTCAACCCAGATATCATCGCTGGCGCTGGTCATGTGAAGCGGCCGCGGCCGCCAACCCTGCCAGGACGCCTCTCGGCGAGGTCGAGCCGCACGACGGGCTCCTCGTCCAACACGGCGGCCGCCGCGAAGCGACGGCAGGGGCAAAGGCAGGCAGCACACCCACGAGCCCTCGCGAGCGTCCAGGGTGGCCACCAGGCAGTCAGCCAGCGGCACCTGGACCCCCGCAGCCTCCTCTGGCTCGGGGAAGACCGCCCCGAGCGGGGGCGGCGGCAGCGGCTCGGCCGCCGATAGGGGCGGCAGCGCCGCCTCGGGCCCCAGAGCCGCGGGCGCCAGCCGCCCCCAGCGCGCCAGGAACAGGGTGACTATGTTGCTCCCAAGCGGGAGACCGATGCCGGGTCGGGCGAGGTGCATCGACCAGCTGAGGGCTCCCGCTCCAGAAAAAAGTACTTGAGCCGACGCGGTTGCAGGGCAAACGCGACGGCCTCCACATTATCGTCATCATTGTCATCGTCATCGCCACCTTCAAATCATCATCACCATCATCACCATCATCACCATCACCATCATCACCATCACCATCACCATCACCATCAGCATCAGCATCAGCATCAGCATCATCATCATCATCATCATCATCATCATCATCATCAGCAGCAGCAGCATCACCATCAGCATCACCATCATCAGCTTCATCAGCATGAGCATCATCATCAGCAGCAGCATCATCAGCATCAGCGTCATCATCATCACCATCATCATCAGCTTCATCAGCATCAGCATCAGCATCATCATCAGCATCAGCATCATCACCATCAACATCAGCATCATCACCATCACCATCATCATCAGCATCATCAGCACCATCATCATCAGCAGCATCAGTATCAGCATCATCGTCACCATCATCACCATCATCACCATCATCACCATCATCATCATCATCATCATCACCA